AAAATATGGCCCCTTTACCACCCAACACAGTGGCCAGACTCTGCTCAGATGGTCTAAGTGTTTCTTGGGACAGCAATAGATCTGCACATCCTAGCGGAAAGTAGAATCAAACTTTAAAGTGATGATTTCTCAGGCTATCCAAACCCAGTCATTCCCAAGGAAGCTCCCCTAGTGTTTGATCACACGCTGGTTACTGATTGCCGAATCGGGTTGCCTACACTTAAATGGCTTCCATGTACAAAGAAGAGGGGACAATTGTGGCCTAAATATTTTTAGCTCATTTTATATAGCCACTTTCAAAATAAGAATAAGAAGCATCCATGGTGATCTAAAGGTCGGGGACTACAGACATAATCCACCTCTCTGATTTTCCTTTGTATTAGCAAACAGATGAGAAAGGTCAAGTGGCAAGTGGCTTATCTAAGGTCATGCGACTAAGACAGAATGAATGGGTCTACTAGAACCTAAGTCTTAACTCCAGTTCAGGCCTCTTTCCACTCACTAAGCCACACTGAGCAAAGACATTTTTTCTGAATTAATTCAAAAAATATGTAATAAGCATCTATACTGTACCTAGCACTATTCTAAGCATTTAGGATGCAACAATGAACAAAAACAAATACATTAGCTGCCCTAATTTAATTTATAGTCTGGTAGTGGAGGCCAAGTTTAATGAAAATTTTATACAAACTAAAGTAAAATTGTGACTTTCAGAATTGCATGAAGAAGGGGTAGACAGTGGCATAAGAGCTTCTAATAGGATGATAGGGCCTAGCCAGGGAGGAAATCGGGGAAGGCTTCCTGGAGGAAGTGACATGTAAGCTAAAATCCAAACAATGAATAGTCTATTAGGTGAAGAGAGACTGGAACAATATGTTAGGCAGCAAGAACAGTGTGAGTGAAGGCCAGTAATGGGAGGGAACCACTGTAGTGGGACCACAAAGATGAAGAGGTAAGATGCAGAGCTCTGCAGTAGCTAGGTCATTCTAGGCATTTTAGGTTATGCAGAAGAATTTTTTTTTTCTTTATCCTAAGAGCAGTGGGAAGCCATTGACGGTTCAATGGGTTGTATGCTTGGGAGTGGTGCTAGAAGGTGTGGAAATGGCAACCTGGTCACTTTAATGAGTGACCTGGAATGTCTCAGCCAAAGTCACAAAATAGCATTTGGTTTGTAGAACCACATGAAGGCGTGTTCCCAGCCTCTGCATGAAGATACCTTTGGCGGACACCTCAAAGTGGGGCTGGCTCAGATCGCAGCCATGGAAATCTCCCGGGGCAACCACAGAGATAACAAAGCTGTGATTCGCTATCTGCCTTGGCTCTACCACCCCCCTTCGGCAATGCAACAAGGGTAAGACCCTAATTACTCCAGGGCTGAGGTACATGAGGCAGGAAGCACCCTGAGTTCCTTCCTTGGGCTTCGTGAGAGCAAGTGATGCACTGAAGATTCAGGGGATGGAATACGCTTGGTTGGAAAGACGGGAATTGAGACCCCTCTGCGTGCTTACTGGCTGACCCCGCAGCATTTCTGAGCTTGAGTACCTCATGGCATGGCGCCAGTAAAAGGAACTGGTCTTCCACAAAGACCTCAGTCACCCCGAGGGATGGTGGACACTGGAGCTTTATCACTTTAACTCTTCATTTCAGCTCATTAAATAAGCCCACAGGTATCTACTGAGCACTCAGAGAGCTTCTGTGTTCCATGAGCTTAGATTGTAGCCAGAACAAGACCTACAGCAGAGATGAAATAAGAGTGCAAGGAGGTGTGACCCCTGATCCTACCTCTGAGGGAGGCTAGGAAGAGAGGCGCCCGTGGGTGGTTTATTAGGGAACTCCAAGCAGGCTCCAGCCTGCCACTCGGCTGGTGAACTTCCTGGCTGGAGGCAAGGTTTGGAATGGGGTGAGGAGGGCAGGAGACAATAATTGGTGAGCGGGGAAACAGTGGCTGTGTGTTGTACCTTCTCTATTCCCTCCCCTCTAGTGGGGATGTCAAGCTTTCTAATGAGAGGAAAGGGAAGCATTTAGAAAGAGACCCTAGTCAGAAAGGCAGTAGGCTTGTGGAAGAATGCTATTTAATCCCGTGTCACCAAAGGCTGCTCTTTGCTCGGGAAGCTTAGATCCAGGATTAAAGTGGGAAACAAAAAACCCCCCAGATACACCATTTTGTTGGCACTGTCACCTTGGTGTTTTATTTTATGTAACTGCCTATAAGACCACGCTTTTAATCCCTTCCCTCCGTACGCATTCCTTGAGCACCCAACGAAACAGACCATAAAATCACCTTGAACACTTCCTCCTTCTCAACAGACCGAAAGAATTCATCGAGTGTGTCTCCCACATCCGTCTGCTGTCCTGGCTGCTTCTGGGGTCCCTCACTCACAACGCCGTGTGTCCGAACGCCTCCTCCCCCTGCCTGCCCATTCCTCTGGATGCAGGCTCCCACATTGCGGACCATCTTATTGTCATCCTGATTGGATTCCCAGAGCAATCAAAGGTAAGTGATTCCTGCGAGATTAAGACCATATGCATCGAAATTGCTAATGGAAACCCTTATCAGCCAATTATGGTTTTTTTGAGAAGAAAATGCATCTTATCACAGGCCCTCCTGTGGATATTAGGAAAGTGACTTTGTGCTAATGCCTTATTTTAAGTTGTTTAAATTCCCAGACTATCTTTTCTTTCCCCTAAATTGTTTTCGGTTTACTTTTATGAAGATAAATTATGGAGGCAAGCAAGAGTCAGCTTCCTAGGCATTTCTGTCTGAAAATAATGAAGAGGAATAAGAGGCTAGAAATAGAATAAAAATTCTGTGATCAGTTTTTAGAACCAGATATGAAGTGGAGGAAGATTTATGCTCTACCTAATTCTTCATGCACTATCTTTTCAACTCAAATCTCTAGGGATAGAGGGAGATACAAAGTGAAACTAAGAAGGCAGTTGGGGACTCACTAAAGTACACATTAGAATCACCTACACAGAGGAACTTTGTAAATTGCAGAGACAAATGACGAGCTGCAGGGAATAAAGGAAATGCAAGGCAGGCGTCAGCCCTGAGCCAGTACAAGCAAACTGGACTCATTGGTACTAATTAGCTCCGAGGAGCCAAGGCCCCTTCACAGAGCTCAGACGAATCCTGGGAGGTCATGGTGGGTGGGGGCCAGGACCAGCTGACTCTGTGACAAAACAGAGCACCCGTCCCAATGACCGGGAGGATGTCTGCAGGAGAAATAAGCCAGCCAGTTTCTAATATTTCAACCCAGATCGGTGTTTGATTCTTAGGTACTTTGCAATTTTGTGACCTTGAAAAAGTTACGGAACCTCTCTGAGCTCTGGTTTTTCTTCCGTGACATCGATGAGGGGATGGGTTGAGAATTAGGGAGGTGACCTATGAAAAGTGTCTAGTACAGTGCCTGGGACATTGTAGGTTCCCACACAATCATTGCTTATCACCGGTAGGAATACTGCTGCTATGGTTACTACTACCAATAGTAGGGCTGTAATTATTAAGTGCCGGGCAGTGTGTTCATATCCATTGCCTCACGTACTCCTAACCACAGCTCTTTGAGGACGGTGCTGTTATCCCCATGTTGCAGATGAGGAAACATCCTGAGACGGTAGAGCAAGTGTTCTTCCTAATGTAGCTTAGGGATGGGAATGTCAGTTTTATTAAAGGGCAAGGGGGTGGGTAGGTTTATTCTGTAAACTCAGGCGTCTTCTCTGACGAAGTAAAGAACAGCTTGCTCCCTGGAAGGCCAAAGCCGCAGGGGGAGGGCTCCCGGGAGCAGCCCCACCCACACCCACACGAGAGGTAACAGCTCTTCCTCTCCTTCCTCCTCAGACCTCCGTGCTGCACATGTGTTCCCTCTTCCACGCGTTTATCTTTGCTCAGCTCTGGACCGTCTATTGCGAACAGAGCGCGGTAGCTACAAACGTCCAAAACCAGAACGAATTCAGCTTCACCGCGATCCTGACGGCCCTGGAGTTTTGGAGCAGGGTGACCCCCAGCATCCTCCAGCTGATGGCCCACAACAAAGTGGTGAGTTCACAACGCAGCTTCCCTCTTGGCCGGAATCTCAAAACGTGGAAACCACTCCCAGTCCTCACTCTGCCCGCCTTAAAGATCTCAGCTGCAATATTATAGAAATGGATCGATGAATTTTTACTTTGTAAACTGGGTGTTCGACTCACTAAGAATTGTGATAAAAAACAAAGTTAACAAGGCAGTTGAGTACAAACAATTTTTGTTTTCTCTGCCTAAAGCCAAAGGAAATGTAGGTGAAACTTCTGCCTTTGAGAGCTGTTTCGATGCTATGCATTCCGAGAATTAGGAGGGGGATTCATATTTTAAAAAAAACAAAACAACCCTAGCAAATTAGGTCCCCACACGTGCTCATTCCATTCCACTCAGGGCTCAAAACTGGAAAAGAGCCACCTTTTTGAATTATCCACGAGGACCTAAGCTCCCCAGTCTTCAAACCCAGTTCCACTTTAATGTAGATGGCTCACCACGTGAGGGGCTGCTCCAAACTTATTGGAAAACATCTGGGATCTGGTTAGCATGAGCCACGTCATTGAACATGCGTGGATTAGTCCTCATGGATGGGGTCCGGGTTGGGGGGTGTACAGAAGGAATTTACAAGGGAGTCCTTTAGTTCAGTTCATGGCTTTGGGAGAGGATTCTGGGCTGGGGAAGCTGCCAGTGTCTTGGGTGTGGGTTGAATTCCTATCTGCGAGGTGCAAGGGCTGGAAGAACCCGACAGGCTCAGAAACCCAACACCGCACCACCCACAAAAGGCACCCCAGAAAGGGTTTTTGAATGAAAATTAGTCTAAGAAATATTTTCTTTTAGTTCTAATTGGAAAGGAGATCATATATTTCCTTTAGTGAAGCACGTTCTCTAGAGAAGCAGGTGTTATTAGACAATTCTGAATGGGGAGAGATGGTTTAGTTCAGTTGAAAGGACATTTATGTGGAATTTGAGGTGCACAGACAGCTCTGACTGCTGTGGAGATAATTACATTTATTGGATCATAGTGCCTGGGACTGAAGAACTTGGAGATGAAACCCTCTGTTCTGTTATTTTACAGAAGATAAAATGGAGACCTCTAACTTCAACCAGAGATTCAAAGTTTCCTTCTATTGTCATTCGTTTTTTGATGCCATTACTACCTCTCCTTCAAAGCTCTTTTGATATCCAAATGTCACAAGTGAATTTTGTGACAATGTTATAAATGAATTTGAATTAATTTTATTCTGAAAATTTCTTCCAAGCGAGAAAGCCCGTCTGGTAGAACCCCCTGGAGTGTTTAAAGCCCGGCCGTAGGGATTGTCCACAAGATATCACCGCTCCTGCGTTTCTGAACTGTCTGAGCATGGCTGCCTTCCCTCAGAGAACAAAGGCTCAAGGACAGAGAGGCCCGACAGGAAACAGTCCCTCCAGATGCCGGCACTGGAGAAAGGACGGAGGGGGAAGGTGGGGCAAGGGCCGAAGCCCAGAGTTCTGTGGTTGGAAATGAAGGAAGCAGAAGCCATTGATCCGCTGGTGTGAAGCACAGAGCAGATGAGCGAGATCAATACCCGAATTCCCGTGGCAGCCCCGAGGGGGATGAAGGCTTGGCGGTTGGGAGACCTCTGGAGTTTTTAAATTCCGTTTCTGGTTGAGGCTTTGGAGGGGAACAAGCACCACTCCTGTGGCCCCTGCGGTCCTTGGGCAGACGGACGTCTCGGGCACAGGGTGGGGCTCCGTGCTGCGCTATCTGCACCGTGTCTGTGTTACTGGAAGTGGAATTGATTTCGGTGTTTCTCGTTTCAGATGGTAGAAATGGTGTGTCTCCACGTGATAAGTCTAATGGAGGCATTGCAAGAATGCAATTCAACAATTTTTGTCAAGGTAGGAAAATCTTACGATTTTTATAGATTCTTTCTTGCTGCTAAAAACACATGTGGATTCATTCGAATGTATCTTCTGAAGAGGAAAGAAAAGTGATTTAATTGTAACACCCAGAGCTGGGGGTGGAGGATTCAGGCTTCACTATTCATGTTACTTTTTTCTCTTGCTCCACCACTGTGAACGGCTCTAACTGGATTAAGTATGTCAGACCATGATTGCATACAACACAAGCAATTAAAATGTTAACTGGCAATGCTGATCTGAAAATGACCCTCACCTCACCTGTTGCCAAGATATCCAGAAAACCAAGGAAAATAGTCTGTGATTGACTTGTTAGCTGGTATTTTTCTCTAAGATAAATTAATTTCATTTCCAGTATTACTATTCTAAACCATTGGACAGTATATGAAGGTAATCTAAGCATTTGTCATCTATCCAATGACACTAGAAACATACCAGTGCCATAAAAAGGTAAAAAAGTAAAGGAGAACTTGGTTTCTCACTTTATCTTTTTATTTTTTCCTTTCCCTTCTATCATTCCACCTCTTTGTCTCACCGAGTCTTTGTCTTTCCTCTTCTGGTAGGACTTCTTTTTTTACTTCCAACCTCAATATTCCATGATCTCAGCCATTATCAGCCCCACCCACCCCCACCCCCGGCTCCAACCCCGAGTGCATCAGTTTGGAACCTTATAACTTGCTATTTTGCTCCTTGGTTGACTCCCTTCTCTAATAAAGGACACTTGTTAACTCATATGATGCTACAGAAAAGCAGCCCATTTTCGGGGGAAAACTTGACTGTTATCAGAACACTGCAACGTAGCTGGTTTGAATGATAGTCAGTAGCAAAAGTCAATTCTATAGAGAAACTCTATGATGGACACTTGGATGGATGATCATATCTGATTTTATCTGTCACAGCTTTATTGAAGTATAATTTATATACAGTAAACTAGACATATTTAAGGTATCCAGTTTGATAAGTCTTAACATATATTACACCTGCGAAACCATTACCACCATCAAGATAATGAACATCTTCATCACTCCCTAAAGTTTTCTCATATCCATTTATAATTCTACTCTTCCACCACTCCCTGTACGCCACCTTCCCATCTCCAGGTAACTCCCGATCTGCTTTCTGTCAGTCTAGGTTAGTTTGCATTTTCTAGAATCTATATATAGAAAAGGCTAATATGCTAAGTGTCCCTCCATTGTCCGACCGGTTGCGATGATGCGCACTGACCACCAGGGGGCAGACGCTCAAGGCAGGAGCTGCCATGATGCGCACTGGCCATTTACAAAGAAACGGCACTGCACCTGGTGCTGACAAAGCCACACTCGGCTTCCCCCAAGTGGGAGACAGGCCCCACCACCACCCTGGAGCAACACCCCACCAAATTGCAGCCGAGACCCCATGGCACAAAATGTGGCCCACAGCCCAGCCCAGCCAGGAAACGGTCGCTGTGGGCACCGGGTAATGACGTCACGTAACAACACCTGGTTTCCTCTCCCTAGCGACAAGCCTCCTTGCAGTTTCTTCAGCCCAGGAACATGACTTGCTTTTTAGCCAGGTGCAAACATTTTACACTTTAACCAAATGTCTGTGAAGCATTTTCCCATGCCTCATCTCATTTCATCCTCACAGAAATCCTGGAGTAGGTAGATAAGAGACTCGTTAGAATCCTATTTTCTTTTCATTAGCCGGAAAATAGAGATTTAGAAAGTTTAGAAACTTGACCCAACTGAAAAGAAGAAATGGTGGACCTTGAATATGACTTCAGGTTTTCTCACTGTGCAGAATATAGTCAACACTGCTGCAGTTAAATATTTTATTCTTTCTTCTCCCTGCGTGATCTACAATAATAATGTGCTTTGTGTTGATATTTACTGCTTCGTTGCTGATAATTACCTGAAAGATAATTTGGGGTGCTTCACTGGGCTGGAAAAAGTTTAGCTAAATCAGAAAGCAGGCCTATTTAAGCAAGTTTATCAATACACTAGAGGACTGGGCACGAAATTCATGCACGGGTAGGGTCCCTAGGCCTGGCCGGTGATCAGGGCTGATCGGGGCCTTCTGGCTGCTGGCCGGGCCTTCCTTCCCCCAGCTGCCAGCTGCTGGCTGGGGCCTTCCTTCGTTCTGCGCTGACCCTTGGTGGTCAGCGCACATCATAGTGAGCGGTCGAACTCCCGAGGGGACAATTTACATATTACCCTTTTATATAATAAAAGGGTAATATGCAAATTGACCCTAACAGCAGAACGATGAGGAATGACTGGTCACTATGACACACACTGACCACCAGGGGGCAGACGCTCAATGCAGGAGCTGTCCCCTGGTGGTCAGTGTGCTCCCACAGGGGGAGCTCTGCTCAACCACAAGCCAGGCTGCCAGCTGCCAGCACAGCAGTGGTGGCGGGAGTCTCTCCGCCTCCTCAGCAGCACTAAGGATGTCCGACTGCAGCTTAGGCCTGCTCCCCACTGGCAAGTGGACATCCCCTGAGGGCTCCTGGGCTGCCAGAGGGATGTCTGACTGCCAACGTAGGCCCGATTCCCCGGGGAGCGGGCCTAAGCCAGCAGGTGGACATCCCCGAGGGGTCCCAGACTGCGAGAGGGCACAGGCCGGGCTGAGGGACCCCCCGAATGCCTCTAGTATAGGATATAAAGCTCTTGCTTATGCCAATCACACGTGTGTGTTTTCATCTGTCATTATTGATTGTGAATTTGGTTGACACTTCTATTATAGAGAAAGGGTGAATAGCAATATTAACATATTTCTTCTAATGAATTTCTTTTCAATATACATGAATTTGTGCACTGGGCCTCTAGTTTTATATAAGTGGGTTCATACAGTATATTCATTTTATTCTGCTTTCTTTCACTCAGAATAATTATCTTGAGCTTAATCCATGTTGTTGCATGTATAAGTGGGTCCTTTCTTTTTGTTTCTGAGTAGTGGTACATTATATGGAATACCACCGTTTGTTTACTCATTCATTGGTTAGTGGGTATCTGTTTCTAATTTGGGACTATTAACAAAGAAAGCTGCAATGACTATTCAGGTATAAGTCTTTGTATAGATACATGCTTTCATGTATGTTAGACAAATAACTAGGCGGAATATCTAGGCCACATGATAGGTTTATTAACAAACTGTTTTCTAAAGTAGTTGTGCCTTGTTACATTCACATTAGCAGTGTGTGAACACCCCAGTTCCTCCACATCTTGGGGAAGTATTCCTTCCTTTTCTGTTTTCTAAAAGGTTTGTGTATATATGATATTATTTTTTCCTTAAATAGAATTCACCAGTAGAACTTCCTGGGCTTAGAATTTTCTTATAGGAAAGTCTTAAAGTACATATACAATTTCATGGCTACTTAAGTTAACTGTTTATTCTTGAGTGATTTTTGGTAGTATTTATCTTTCAAAGACTTTCTCCATTTCTTTAAAGTAGTCAATTTTATTTGTGTGAAGTTGTTCATAATATTTCCTTATTATACTTTTTAATATCTGTAGCATTAGTAATTATGCCACTTTTTAAATTCCTGATATTGGTGATTGGTGACTTCTCTGTTTTTGTTGTTGTTCAATCTGAAAAGAGGTTTATCAATTTTAGTGAGCCTTTGATTTAAAAAAACACACATCACAGCAATCAGCTTTTATTTTATTTTTATTGATTTTCTCTCTTTTTTTCTGTTTTAATGATTTATTATGTTCTTTCTTCTGATTACTTTACACTTATTTTTTTTCTTTTTCTCCTAGTTTCTTATGGTGGAAGTGGAGCTCACTGATTTGAGACCTTTTTTCTAATATAAGTGATTAGTGCTATAAATTTTCCTCTAAGCACTGGTTTAGCTGCATCCCCAAATTTAGTATATTGTGTTCTTATTTCCATTCAGTTCTAACTACTTTCTAACTTTCCCTAAACCCATTGGTTATTTAGAAGTATATTATTTAGTTTCCAAATATTTGGGGATTTTCCAGAGATTTTTTTGTTATGGACTTTTAATTTAATTTCTTTGTGGTTAGACAGCATACTTTTTATAATTCAAAGTATTTTAAATTTATTGAGACTTTTTCATGACCCAGAATATTGTCTCTCTTGGTACATGCTCTGTGTGTACTAGAAAAGAACATCTTCTGCTGTTGTTGGGTGTCGTTTTCTATTTTAGTTGTTTCAACCTTATTGATGGTGCTGTTCAAGCCTTCCATCTCTTTCCTTCGGTTTAGTTATTCTGTCAATCACTGAGAAAGAGATGTTGAAATGTTGCAGTAATTATGGAGTTCCTTATCTTTTCAGGTCTACCAATTTTTGGTTCATGTATTATGATACTATTTTAGGTGCATAAATGTTTCTGATTATGATGTCTTCATGAATTGAAATTATGAAATGGCTCTCTTCATCCTCAATAATATTCTTGATCTGAAAGCTACCTTGATATTTATAAGATGGTATATCTTTTTCCATCCTTTTACCTTTAACATCTTTGTATCTTTATGTTTAAAGTGTACTTCTTATAGGCAGTGTATAGTTGGGTGTTGGGGTTTTAAAAAAATCTAATCTGACAATCTCTTTCTTTTAATTGGGGGCTTTTAAATAATTGTATGTGTTTTGTGATCTTGCTGGGCTTAAATCTATCATCTTGCTATTTATTTTCTGTATTTCCCATTTTTTCTTTGTCCCTTAATCTGTCTTTTTCTGATTTCTTCTGGATTGAATTTTTAATGATTAAAATTTGGATATAATTCCCTCTTTTGCCCCCCTAATTTCTTAAGATGGAAGTTGAAATCATTAATTGGAGAGCCTCTTTTTTCAACCATCAGTGTTTAGTGCTCTAAATTTCCTAAGTACTGCTTGAGCTGTGTATTCCTCCAGATTTTGATATCTTCTTATTTCCATTCAGTCCAAAATGCTTTCTAATTTCCCTTAGGGTTTCACTTTTGATCCATGGGTTATTTAGAAGTGTGTTTTTAGTTACCGTGTTAGTTAGCTGGTTTAGTAGAGTTTATTATATACATTTTTAACTTATCACAATCTACATTCAAGTACTATACCACTTTATGTATACTATAAGA